ATATATCTTCTCAAGAGTTTCTCCTAAGGTAAAGCTATCTTTGCATTTGGATTTCAGACCTGGGTACTTAGAGATGTTGCTATTGCTGACAGTCGTCTTCCTTGGTGGGATATGCCAGATCAGGAACCTTATATTCACTGCCCAGTGTTTGCAAACTGGTTCCTATTTGTGGACATACTTCCTTTTCACTTCTCATCAGGCCATCCAAGTAGTATTCCTTGGTAGAATTCTACATTCTACAATCAGGAATGGGCACACAAAGCCGATGGGCTACCAGTTTTTTCAAATAAAATTCGCTTGGGACTTAGCTATCTTCATGTTTTGATGTTTGCCTCTGTGGCCTCTTAAACCTACAGTGGCAGAGTTGAGTAGCTGCGTCAGACATGTATGGCCCACAAAGCCTGGCCCTTTACAGAAAAAGATTGCCTGCCCTGCTTTGGCTCATCCCTGAATGGTAATGGTTTTGTTTCCCTTTCCATATAGTATCTCAGAAACTTTTTTTTAACCTCATTCACTTTTGCTTATAAGAAGTCTTTTTCTATTTTACAGATGGGACAGCTAGGACACACTCAATCTAAGAGGTTGACCATAAAGCCTTCCCCAGGATCCAGCAGTCAGTTATACTGTGTCTTCATCATCAAGTTTCTAGTGTCCATTCTAGAGCTCCCGTCTTAATTTGAAGCACATGAACACATGTCTTGGTGCCTATCCCTATCCCTCTCCATCCTATACAGCTCTTTGAAATGAGAAATAAGAAACTAATGAAGGCAAAAAAGTAGACTGAAGCAAATGGTTAGTGTTCAAGTGCTAATTATTAAGGAAAGACAGAGGGTTTTTGAAATGTTCACTTACTCAGTTTGTGGGCCTAGATTTCTAAGACATTAGAGTCCTTTTCTCCGCCTAATTTTCAACATACTGTTTTATGAATATCTTGTAGTTTATTGCAGCTCATTAAAAAGTTGGAGGACTCCAAGTCCAATGTGAGAAAAATAGTCTCAATCTAGATGGAGTAAAACAGAGGGAAAGAACTTAGAACTAACTTTATTTTTTAAATTGCTTGGTGGATTTTCCTTAGTATTGTGCTAGAAAAACATTTAAACATCCAGAAAAGTTGAAAGAATTATGTGGTGAAAACCCATATGCCCACCATCTAGATAGTACAGCTGACATTTTGTTATATTTGCTTTATTTCATACTTACCCATCTTTGTTGGAAAGGTTTTAAAAATACCTTGTCACCATCCATCCATTTTGATCTAATCACCCATCATGGTGCTAAAAACTAGTTTCTTTAATTTTTATCTGTATTCCTTTGCCATGGATGCCACTCCTACCTAACCATGTATAAGCAAAGCTGCCTGTGAAAAAGCGTGTCAGAGAGAAGCCATTTTATTTCTGAAAGAAAATGGCGGCAGTGCAACATCTACTGGAAATTCTAGGGAAAGGAAAGATGAAAGTCCAGGTTCAGTGTCAATGAATCTTCCAATAATACATTGCCTTGCACTTCATTCACTTGACTAGCCTGAGTTACAAGTGGTTTTCTAAGTGGTTTACACTTGGTTCCTAACTTTAAGACTTTACAAAGGAGAAACAACAAAGTGGAAATACCACTTAGATGGTATTCAGAATTAGCACAATTCCTTGGAATTTTAGCAAATGGATAGTCCTAGTGTCAACTAGAAAGTACCACAAAATGAAATTTTTATCACGATAATGATGTTACCTGTTTGTGTCTATCTCCCTTGATTTACGCTCGATGTTAGTTTGTAATTCTCTTAGAGATAAATGTCCGTATCATAAAAAATGCATTATTACATTTAACACCTATCACAGTGGCAGAGATTTAAAATGTTATACTATACTGCACATGGTGGTGCAGGGGTTTAAGACAGCACCATCGAGCTGTTACCAGCCACTGCAGCATGAGTTTGATCCCTGGCAACTCAGGGAGCTGACCCACATGGTGCAGTAGACCTCTCCTGTCTCACCCACTGTTCCCCTCAGCAGTGTATTTTAGCCAGTTAGGATTTCTGCTTCCCACTCTGTCTCTGATGAGTCCTCTCACTCCCTGAGCCAATCAGCAAGTTCTGTTCTCCCCTCTGTTGCCCTGCACATCTGGCCTACACTCCAGTTCTTGTGTGCATAAATAAATCTAAAACTAAATAAAATGTTACACTAGTATTAGTAAGGTATATCCAGTTTTAGTATAATTCATTGGGGGTTAGTTTGACAATATATATTAGTGGGCAGCATAAAAACTACATGTCCTTTAACTAGCAATTTCATTTCTAGGGATATATACCCAAATATTGTAAAGAGGTTCTAAAGTAGGAATCTAAGAGTAGTCTAAAAGATTTTCGTATGGAAATGTTCACAATGTGCACAGCAATAAAAAAATGGAAAAAGCTATGTATGGATAGGAATTTAGATAAATTTTGGTATATTCAGATAATAATTTAAAAATCACAAAATAGTCTCATAGCTGAATATTTGATTTGGGACGTGACCAGCATATTAATTGGCAAAAATGCTACAGAACAATGATATGGTTTCATTTAATTCATGCAAAGTAAAAATTCATGTTTGTACAGATACATGAAGGTATTTGGTTGTTGGAAAAGTAATGACTTTTTTTTTTTTTTTTTTTTTTTTGCATAGAAGAACTGGCTGGTGCGTGGGCTAGAAGTACAGGGGATGAGAGGATTCACCAGAGACAGAGTGGGGAGCAGAACAGAAGGATATACTAAAATTCACTGTTGAGGGGAGCAGTGGGAGAGGTGGTAGAGGTCTGCTTTGCCATATGTGGGTTAGCTCCTTGGCCAGGGATTGAACTAAGGCTGTCATGGTGATAGCACTGAGACTTCAACCCCAGGCCACGGGGTGGGGGTGGGGAGGGATGGGGGGGGCTTCTTTCTATGTCTTTCAAGCAAAAATGTGTCATGACTTTTCTGACATTCTAATAGCTGCAATAACATACCCCAAGGATTAAACCATCAGGGATTTTGTGGGGTTTTGTTTTTTGAACTTTGAAAATGTGTTTTTGGTATTGTTTTTCAGTGTGCATTTATAACTTTTAAAATTAGATAAATATTTGAAATTTGTTGACTTGAACAGATGTGGAATAAAATGGGAGGACTGGAAACTGAAGCCATTTAGTTTGGCAAAGAACTGGGTAGGGTGGGAGAAGGGAGTGGTAGAAATATGATCTGCCTTTAGAGAAAGTATCTACCAACTTTCTATTCTTGTCTCTTTAGTGTGGGCATTTTGGCATTATGCTCACCATGCATTTCCCAATTAGGCCCTGTACACATTCCTTTCTCATCCTTGCCCCTAGGGGCTTTTAATTGCTGGTGGCAGCTGCTGCTTGAGGGTGTGCAGCTCTTGCTCTAGTAATGGCTGCTTTACTTTATTCAATAAAGAGACGGCTAAAACCCATCCAGGCTCCTTCTGACCACGCTCCCCCCAACACACACACACGCACACGCACACGCACACACAGCAGTATGAGCCTTCCCCAGTCTGTGGTGGGAGAGCTTTGTGCTTGGGCCTCATAGTCACTAGTAGATTATTAAATATATGTTTATGATAGTGGTGAGTGAAACAGTTAAAGATGAGCCCCGGGAAATTGCTCCTTGGGCCTTCCTGGGGTTTGGAAGTTATCTGCTACCCCTCGCCAAGTAACAACAAATATAGTTATAATAGCCTGGGCTTTGGGCCATTTCTGAATTAACTGTCAGATTTCTGGGTTGCTATTCATACTAAGTTGTTAGGGAGTAGTAAACTAGAGGTTTACTTCCTTGAAAGAAGGACCCTTGGGTGTTGGGGTGGGGGGGAGAATGGATGGATAGGCCTTTGGCTTGTCTTTTGTGGTCTCAGGTATCAGAGTCCCCTTCCTTCTAGTGGTTGAGTTTGGGAGGTGTAGAGGACTAGCTGTAAGCTGGCCTACCTCCTTGTGATCTTTTTGGTAACCGGGCAGCTGGTAAAGGAAAGGTATGGATGTATTTGGTTCCTTTTCACATATGTGTAAGGTGAGTAGGAGAGAACTGAAACTGTAAATGACAAACCTTGTTACTGTTGGTCATCAGTGTGAACCAAATGCCATCTGATGACTAGATGAAGATTTCAGTCACTTTTAGGGGCATTTCTAGATAGTAATTTGGAACAGAGGATCATTAACTGCCAGACTAGAAGGGGCCCTAAGAGATCGAGTTTACCTCATTCAAAGATAGGGATACTGAGGTGTCAAGAAGGGGAAGGACTTGAAGTACTTGCAGGGAGCTATGAAGATCAGTTAGCATTGGATTTCACATCTGAGTCTCACACGATATAGTTAGTTGGCACCTCTGTCACCACGTTTTCTCATTTAAAATGGAGATAAGAATCCTTATTAAATAATAATTCTAAGTCATTCAACAGCCTTTACTAGATAAAGAACATACTTGTGTTGATAATAATGCTTAGTATAAGTGAAATCTGAGGTCCTAGGTGAGAGCTAGTTCACTTCACTAAGGTGGTAAAAGTAAAATTAAAACCAGATCTGAAACCTTGACTCTTCCATCTTATACTTTTTCTTCATCCCATCCTATAGGTCCAACCAACATGATCAGAATCCATGCTTCTGTTGAAGAGGTATACTGAGTCCTGCCTCGCCCAGTGAGTTAACCAGAAAATTGGCAGAGGCTCAAATCAGCATCCTGAATGTGACTATCAAGCCATTGTGAAATCTTGGTAAGTGCTCGGTGGCTTTGGTGAGCTGCCCAGTTAGTGGGAAAGGAAGGTAGTTTTAATAGGCACTAGACAATTATTTGAACTTTTGCCATTGTGATAATGAAAAAAAAGTTTTAAATGTTCAGAATAACGAAAAAAAAGTTGTAAACACTTCAGGCTACATTACTAATTATCCCACGTGCCCATTTTTGCACAGGGGATAATTAGATATCTTGCCAAAGATTATATATAACTAGTTGATGTAGAAAATGAATTGAAGCCAGGCTAGTATTGTATCTTCTACCTAAGTCTGAGGAGACCATGTGGCACAGAAACACTTTTACTACACACTGAAACATTTCTTATAATAGCCTCTGAGGTTGTGCGCCCCTGATTAAGGAAATGTCCATGGTGTAAAATGTTACCATGTCTAAAATCACCTGGGATTCTTGTTAAAATGCCAATTCCTGGGCAATCAGAAAGCTTGTTATTGTGAAGAGCAACACTTGTCACTTATATTGAGGCTTCCTGCCCAGTGGGTTCAGCAGTGTCGGGAGGGACATTGTTGCCGTGGATGTCCTAGCGGACAGTTGGGAAGCCTTGGTAAGTTATCCCTGGTTCTGGGTGTGGCTCCCTGGTGGTGGTGAACAAATGGTGATTCAGTGCTTCTCCTTTCAAACGAGACAGTTGTTAAGTGCTTACTAAATGTCAGAGGCTTCTGGATATCAATTAACAGAGTTATTGTCATTTGAATGTTTTGTTCTTGTGAGATTAGACACAAGAATAAATAGTAAATGTATAATGTATTGCAAATGTCACATTGTAAGTTTTTCCATTGTGATGTAAAAAATCACATTTAAAATAACTGGATTAGACTAAGAAACCAGTAGTGGGTTTTTCTCTCTACTTCCCACTTTCCCTTTTAATACCTGCCACTGGTCCTCAGTGTTGTAGAACTTGGTCACATTGAGTATGGGAAGGTCACAGGTGATAAAAACCTGTTTTTCCTCCTTTCCGTAACCCTCTCTAGGCTGAATTGTGAAGGATATTTTTGACAACTATCTTAGAAAGCCCACCAGATCATGTGAATGAACATGCAGCAGAAGAGGGGGTGTTCTCTCAGTGATTAAGGTAACAGTGAATAAGGTAAGTAAGGGAGGAAAGGCTGATTTCTTCTGGGAGGCTCTTAAAAATGTGTTTGTCAGGAGCCAATGCTTTCTAAAGCCTGTGCTTTTATACTATAATTCATCCTTCTCAAAGCAGTTGGGGCAAGTTATATACATACCCAATCCACGACCACCTCTGTGAAGAATGAGAACTGAAATGGTTCCCAAGTAAATTAGATGGCATAAGGTGTGTGTCACAAATAGTTGTCAACATGACACTAATTAAACTCCCCTTAAGAGGAGTGTCTTCTTTCAAAAGATTTATTGAAGATTTTTCTTTATCAGACTGTGGAGCTGCATAAATCCTTTCAAAAGTGTCCTCTTATTAAAGGTTCACTGTTTCAGCCACCAAATGTGAGGCACTTTGGATTAGTAATTTTAGAGGCAGCACTGTCTTCTGGATTGCATTCCTCATGAACCAACCAGACGAGTGTTCAGATTTGAGTCTTCAACCATCAGTCCCCCTAGTGGACTTTAGAAAGCACTGAAATGATTCTTAATTAGACTAGGCAGCATCTTTTAAATGGCCTTCTTTGGGCTATCTCTGCCATCCCTGCCTTAACGCTAGTGGCACCTCTAGTCCAGAGTTATTGCTTAAGAACTAGGTCATTCTGTGGTATCTTGTTTTTCATGCAAGTGAGAAGGGTCACCTTTTCCCATGAGGATAGTCTTGTGATGGTACCTTCATTAGAATAATGTTCCTGGTGCAGGCTCTGGAGTGTTTGAGTAATTCCTACTGGGATAATTCGATTAACATTCATAAACAACCTGAATGATAGAAAGATTGACTTTTTTTAGAAACAAGCTTGGAATCGTCATTGATATAAAGGGAATCCCTGCATTCCGCATCCCCAGAACTTACTTTAAAATGACATTTCCCTCCATATAAAAATATGAATGTTAGCATCCTGCATTTAAAAAGTCTTCCTACCTCTTTCTCCACATAGGTTAAAGTGGGTTGTATAAACCTGGCTTCACGGCCCAATCCCCAGTTCTTTGCCTAGGACTTCTGTATCTCCATTAACCCTCCTCCTCTCCTTTTGTGACAACAACTCTCTTGTTTTCTTTTTTTCTCTTTAGGCAAGTCATCTAGCACCCACACACAGCTTTTGAAACTTTCCTTTTTAGTCACTAATAATTGTAACATTTTTCTTTTAAAAGTACCTTTATGTTCTAGACAAATGCTTTAGTGTATTTGCCATCTCACTGTAACTTGACAGTAACTCTGAGAAGTAGGAGTTGTTCCTACTTTACAGATAACAAAACTGAGCATCAGAGACATGATGTCACCAGTGGAACACAGGGACTCAGTAGTGAAACTATGTGTTACAGTCCAAAGAGGCTAACTCACCTCTCTGTACTCAGAGCACTAGAATGCGGTGATCTCAGTCCCGGGGCTTACTGCCTCCTCATGGGTTTCTCTTGTCACTGTCTTCCAGGATAGGGACACGTGTGAAAGGTTCATTCTGGAAGGAGAGTCAGATGCATGAGAGATGGTGGGAGGGCTGGGTGGGTCCTCTAACTTTTCATCAGGGCCCTGTAGATGGACTAACATGTAGTTCTCTCCTACAGAGCCACTCACCATTTGTTTATCTACCTTTGTCTTCATTTTCACAAATAGCACTCTCATGCAAGATGTTTTTGTTGGCCAATTTCTGTGAGTTTAGAATGTTATACCAAACAGACAAAAAAAAAAAAAAAAGGATCACGAAAGTCAGTACCAACTGAAAATCCCTTCACTTGCAAAATGTTAACTCAGGTGCAGATGCACTGGGACTGGAACAGCCTGCTGTGCAGATCAACATGTTCTAGCTGGAATTCTATGTAAACATCTATGCTGTTAGATAATATTCAGAATTATTTATCTGTTCACAGCAAATGGAAACAAGTACCTTTTATTCAATTAATATCTCTGTAAATGTTACTGCTGGTAAGGTAATGGTGTGCACATAGTCAGCTGACCAACTCAGTCTATGCCATGCCCACGTGCCAATTGTTTTTATGAGTAAAGTTGTTTTGAAACAGTCATGCTCATTCATTATTGGTCATCATTGCTTTGGCACTACAGTAGATGTGAGTAGTGGCAACACACACTGTATGGTCCACAGAGCCTGAAGCATTACCATCTGGGCCTTCGCAGGGAGTTGTCTACTTCGGGATGTCTCCAAATTCATATTTTCTTTTCTTAAAGATTTATTTTATTTCTGCATACAAGAACTGGGTGACATGCCAGAGGTGTAGGGGTGAGAGGACTCACTGGAGACAGGAGGGAACAGAACAGGGGTTTGACTGATACGCTGCTGAGGGGAAGGGGAGCAGCAAGGGAAACAGGAGAGGTCTGCTGTGCCATGTAGGTCAGCTCCCTGGGGGGGATTGAACTTGTGCTGCAGTGGCTGTGGGTAGCTTCATAGTGCTGTGACTTAAACCCTTGCATCATCAGAGAGGGCCCAAGTTTTTTCATTTAATAAATTTATTTTTAATTGAAGTACCTTTTTCTTACATTGTTAATTTTGGGACAGTATGTGATTTTTAAAATAGATTTATTTTATTTATTTATGCATCAAAGAGCTGGAGTGCAGGCCTGAGGTGTGAGGACAGGGGGCAGGGGCAGGCATGAGACTGTTCACCAGAGACAAAGTAGGGAACACAACAGGCAGATTGAAATACACTGCTGAGAGAAGCAGCAGTGAGACAGGCAAGGTCTGCTGTGCCATGTGGGCAAGCTGGAACTCATGCTGCAATGGCTAGCTGCCAGATAGCTTCCTAGTGCTGAGACTTAACCCCTGTGCCACCAGGGAGGCCCTGGACAATATATGATTTCTCCCTGCAGGTGTACGTCTTTCCTTAGTGTAGCATGAAAAGTGGGCTTAAACAATATGGAAACAAATGGGGAGGACTATATTCCAATAAAACTATTTACAAAAGGTTATTGGTCGGGCTTCGTCCCAGGAGCTGTAGAATGCCAGCCTCTGCTCTATAATATACATAGAGGAAGACTTTAAGAGAAAATCTTGTATGTCAGAGCAAGCATTCACTATGATTTCCCTCATGGAATAACGCGGCTATACTTGAATTAGCACTGCAACATTCTTATGTGAGTTGTGCTTTATGCACATGACTTATTAGTTCTTGATTTGAGTTCTTGGTAGTATTATACAATCTTCATGGACAGTGTTATTATCATCCTTTAGAGAATCCTGTTCCTTGCCATAGGTTTTTGTTTGCATGGCTTAGAAGTGACAACTGTCTTATATTCATGTTCTTTTTAAAAAAATTTTGGATACTGGATTGATTAGAAAGATGTGGTACATATATACAATGGAATATTACTCAGCAACCAAAAAAGAGAAACACATGTCTTTTGCAGCAACTTGGATGGAGCTGGAAAAGATCATGCTTAGTGAGATAAGCCAGAAAGAGAAAGAAAAATACCGGATGGTTTCACTCATAGCAGGAGTATAATGGACCAGGCGAGAAAATAACAAAAATAATGAACAACCATAGACCAGAGACATTCTGTGGGGGTGGAGTGGGGAATGGGATAAAAAACGGGGGGGGGGGGAAGGGAGGGAAATGCACGGGACTATGGTGGTGGCACAGGGGTGATTTGGTGATGGGAAACCCGTGGGGATTACAATTGAAATGAAAAAAAAATGTGAAAAATGATGTAAAAATAAACTTTTTAATAATAAAAAAAAATTTTGGATATAACATTTTTGCTCTTCCATATGTCCACATGATCCACTCACCCTGCACCAAACCATCTGTGCCAACACCCTCTCTGCCTCCTTCCCCAACCCTTCCTCTCTTTTCCCTGTTCCCTCTGTTAACTATTAATCTCTTTCATTAAGTCCAAGATTTATTCCTTCTGTATTTTGCCTGTGTATATTTTTGGTTATTTATATTCCATAGATTAACGAAACCATCCAATCTTTCATTTTCTGACTTAAGTTCACTTACCATAATCACCTGGAGGTCCATTCATTTTTCTCCCCCAAGCCACTAGTTCATCTTTTTTCACAGCTGTGTAGTGTTCCAGTCTTTTTTATCCATTCATCTATTGGAGGGTCATGGAGTTGGTTCCATGACTTAAAAATTGTGGATCATGCTGCTATGATATATTGTTGGATCATACATTTTTTTCATTTTTATTTTAAGAAATCTTCATAACTATTTTCCTTATAGATAGCACCAATTTACATTCCCACCAATAGTAGACCAGAATTGCTTATCCTTGACATTATCAGCTCTAGTGTTTATCTTCTTCTCTAGCATATGTTGGCAACTTAATTAGGCCTACAGGTGAATCTAATACAGAAGTTAACTTGGCTATAATCACTATTCTAACAGTTAAGGTAGAGGACTGTGGTTTTGCTAATTTGCTATGTCAAATTCTAAATTTGGCTTTCAGGGGCCTCCTGGGTGGTGCAGGGGTTAAAGTATCAGTGCTATCAAACTATTGCTAGCCACTGTGGTGTGAGTTTGATCCATGGCCAGGGAGCTAACGCACATGGCACAACAGACCTCTCCTGTCTCACCTACTCTTTCAGTACTTCTACCTGTTCTGCTCTCTACTCTGCCTCTGCTGCATCCTCTCACCACAACTTCCACCTCCCTCCCCCACTCTGCACCTAGACCCCAGTGCTCCTATGCATAAATAAATGTATCTTTTTTAAAAATTAGCTTTCAGAATTATCTGGATTTTCAGGATTACTTACGTTCAGTCAAGTAAATGATTGTTGAATATGGAAATGAATATTTTTCTTTAACATTTTTGTTGTATTTGTTACAATATATTTAATAGTTTGCCTAATAGTGAACTGATCTTATTTCTAGAAGAAAATGTCATGCCTTTCAAGAATGTTAAATATACTAATTTTTTGGGTTAAATTTTAACAAAACTTAACAAATTAAATTTTTATTTGTTACTGTTTTATTTCTAAGTTCAAAAGTCAGTTTTGGGTTGGGGTGGCAGTTTTT